CCCAAAAAAGCACCAGGAACTTCAAATTCCCCTGGCACTTGGGAGAAGAGGCAACTTATACCCTCTTTCAGGAAAGTGGGTAAGGGTGTCTTTGTCTTCAAGATACTATTTCTCTTACTAATAGTGTATTGTAACTATCTAATCTATTTGCTTCCCCCTAGACTTTAACTTCTTAAATATAGAGATATTTATCTACTGCTACTAGATTGATCCAAGACATCATCTTGCAACAGGATAATGGAGCCTCTGGCTTCCACGATTGTCTGCTCACTATTTACTCTTAGCATAGTAGTCACAGTGATCTTTTGAAAGCACTAATGGGATCATACCACTCCTCTGTTCAAAGCCCTGCAATGGTTCCATTTTTTCCAAGATCCTTAAATGGCATATAAGACCCCTCTCTCTGACCTTACCTCCTCATTCCTCTCATCTGCTTGCCCTGCTCTAGTTGTCCTGGTTTCCTCATTATTTCTAACACTTCCAAGAAGGCTTTTACCTCAGGGCCTTTCCACTAGCTGATCCTTCTGCCTGGGACACTCTTTCCCAGACAGGCATAGCTCACTCCCTCACCTCTTTCAAATTTCTCATTTAAGTCACTTTGTAAATCGGAATTTCCCTGACAGCTCTATTTAAAATCCAATTCTGTAAAACTGGAATTAGAATAAAATATTATGGATCTCCTTCATTTCTCCTCTACAATTACTTTGCTCCACATGTCCATATTTTTTGATAAATCTTCTCTCTTTGTCTAAATACTTTGTTTCCCCCTCCCTTTTGCCCCAGCGCAGGTCCAAGGCCATTCACCTGGATTAATGTCTGAGTTTACTTGACCAAAGAAGTGAGGAATAATAAAACAGTAAAATATGAGATCTCAGCTGTAGTGAAAGGAAAGGGAGTTGGAAGGGACTCAGAAGACAATAGGTTTGAGTCCTGGCTCCAGTTTTTAACTCTTCTGAGCCTTAACTTCATCAGCTCTAAGGATGAACATAGAAGTCCAAGCTCATAGACTTGGTGAAAGCCTTGAATGAGAGCACAGTGAAAGCATTTGCCATGTGGCTTCTACCAGCTGGGGAGTCCACCAGGTCAGAACTTTGTCTGGTTTATTTTCTACCAAAGCTCCAGCACCCAACTGTAAGTCTGGGGAAAGGAAATCCCAGGGCAAAATACCTCTAAAACCGAATCAGTCAAAGGGAGAAATAAAGTTTAAAATCCGTTTATTGCTTACAAACTACAGTCCGGGCCCTTCTCTCTTTCGTGCTTTAGCAGAAGCAAAACTGGCCCTCCTCCTCACCTCTCAGGTACCAATAAGCCCTCCTTTGCCCAGGTAATTAACCACTGATATGGAGATGAACTTCTCTCCACCCCTGAGGAATGATGAAAATGCCTTAAAGCCATACTTTTCTTCACCCTTGAGTGCCTGTTGATATGCAGATGTACTAAAGCCTGGTGAGATATTCTGGAAATGTTACAATTTTACCCACAGGCTACCTCTCCAGAAATCTCGCCTTAAAATTTACTCATTACCCCTCTTCCAACCAATCTAATAACATACAATAGCAAAAGCAATAAAATCTTGATAATCCTCAAGCCAGAGGATTCAGCCTATGCAGATTAAGTAAATGTACTTTACAGCACAATCTCTCACTAAGCACAAACTGTTTCTACACTTTACTCATTACTAACAAGCATGCTAGATTGCTCACAAAACTTTTACCGAACATTAGACAAAGTCAAGCCTCTCTTTAAGCATTTTTTTCTTAACAATTATTACTACTTCCTACAGTTGTTTACTCATTCCTAACAACCATGCTGGATTACTAACAAAACTTTTACCAAACATTAGACAAAGTCAAGCCTCTCTTTAAGCATTTTTTTCTTGACAACAGCAACACAATCATGATAATTCTCAAGCTAGAGGATTCAGCTAGGTTCAAAGTCCCACGCAGATTAAGTCCAAAACTCTTCCATTCCAGCCATCATGCAGCAGCTGCAGCCAGGGGGCGCATCCAGGACACAAGGACTGTAGAAACAAATAACTGTGACTGTGGGGAATCACTTTGTTGTTATCCCAGGAATACACAGTAGGCCAGTTTCCAGGCCTTTTCCTCAAAGTGCCAAAAGAGCCAGCCATCGCCAGTCCATGTGTTGAAATGTCCAGGGCCCTGTCCATATTACTCCTAATTGCTGCACCCATCCTTGCAACACATGTCCAATAAAGTGGGTGCCTTGATCACTCTCAATCACTGGTGACCAGCCATAGGCTGCAGAAACGCTCTAGGTCCCTCTTGATGGTTTGCTGATCTGCACAACATGCAGGGCACTCCTTCTGGGCTCGGCTGACTTCCTCAAAGGTCAATGCAAGCCCCACCGACAGGCTACAGCCCACATTGTCTTTTGCCCTGCGTGCAAAAAATGTTGACATAGCCATTGGGCCACATCAGAGGCAGGCTTTCCTTCTAGTCAGCACACCTGGGCCAATGCATCTCCTTCATTATTCCCTGGGATGCCAAAGGCAAATGTTGTGCCCAAAGTCGCGAATCCCAGAAGACCACCTAGGAGCCAACACCGATGCAAAAGCAAAGAGCCTTTATTCTAGCTAGCTCGAGCTCAATCTCTCATCTACACCAATGCAGTGGCAAGATGCCAGAGAAAGAGAGCGAGTTTCAATACCACAAAGGTATATGGGGTTCTAGGGCAGTTGGTGGGGTGATGGTCGTGGCTCTGGCTGATTGGCTGGATCTAGGGGTAGTGGGTGAGCTCTTTGCTGAATGGAGAGGAGAGAGACCAAGCTCCAATTGGGTGAAATAGGATCCAGGTCCTGATTGGCTGAGGTAGGATCTGGGTCCCAATTGGCTGAAATAGAATCTGGGAGCTTGCCCTTTCAGCAAATGGCCAGTCACATGATATATGGTAGGTGTCTGTGCCACGCCACTCCATAGCCTTTGGGTCCAGTCTCTCACCCACCCTGCGATGGGATAGGTGGTTATTAGCTTGGTCAGAGCTGTTCCAGCAATGGGCTCTGTAGCCAGCAGGGCGTGGTACACAGGAGCCAGGTGCTTCTCTATCAAGGTGACCTAGTCCTCTGCTTCTTTCCCTCCTTGTGACCAGGCTCTGGCTGGTAGCAGAAGCAGCAGCAGTAGCCTTAGGCTCGGGCCACAGGCTAGGGTCGATGTGGCCAGCAGCAGCAGTAGTGGCACCTCCATGACCACACAAGCGTAGACACACGTCCTCAGCGTGAGCGCCACTTCTCCCCATCATTTCTAGGGGCGGGCCTCCCCAAAGTCGCACCCATTATGACAGATTTCGAGTTCAAAGGAGTCCTGCCGACTGTGCCAGATGTAAGTCCAGGGAAAGGAAATCCCAGGGCAAAATACCTCTAAAATAGAAATCAGTCAAATGGGGAAATAAAGTTTAAAATCTGTTGATATGGAGATGAACTTCTCTCCACCCCTGAGGAATGATACAACCGCCCTAAAGCCATACTTCTCTCCACCCTCGAGCATCTGTTGATATGCAGATGTACTAAAGCCAGGTGAGATATTCTGGAAATGTTACAATTTTACCACACCAACATACCGTTCTGTTGAACTATTAGTTGAATAGTGAAGTATTGAATGAAAATATCATTGATGAATAAATGGTTGATGTTAAAAAAGCAAACAAAAAACCCTTCCTATCCACTTCCTCCAGTTTTCCTCAGACCTCTTACCTGGTCTATTTTAGCCCACAACACTAAATACCTTCTAACATAACCAAATAATTTTCTTGTTGTGTTTATCCCCTTATTAGACGTAAGCTCCAAGACCGAAGGATATTGTCTTTCCCTTTTTCTCTCTTCTGTTCACTGATATATTTCAAGGTCTGAAATAGTACCTGACAACCTTAGTAGCTATTGGCAATTATGTGTTGGATGAGTGAATTTTTTAATCTTAATAATCTTGCTAAGTCTTATATAGAAAAGGAATATAGGAGTACTTTTAATTCCTAGTGCCTAGAAATGCTTGACAAATGGCAAGGTGTTCAGTGTTTGCTGAAGGAATTGGTTACTCAGCTCTTTACCTGATCCCTGAGACTACATCAAAAAAGGTTCCCAGGGCCAGTTCACTCAGGCCTCTGTCCTTTTTCTTTCATCCAGTGAATTTCAGATTCATCTAACATATCTGAATACTCATATCGAGCACCTACTGTAAATTCAAAAGCATACTTGCTGCTATACATATGACTAATGCGAATGACAGCAATAGGTCTGAATGTATGTAATGGTGTGAAATGACAGGACAGGCTGGCGGTGCTAATAGGAGAAAGAAATCAGTGAAGACTGACGTAGAAGTAAATTCCAAAGTTCAAAAGTTGCCCTTCTAAACGCTCCACCTGTTTATAGCAAGGACCATAGCCTGAGTAGCTACTTTAGACTCAGAAGTGCCCTTCGAATTCCTACTCCTTTAAAAAAGAAACCAAGCCTAAGACACGGTAAAGGTCTCAGCAGAGATGGGTCTAGAAACGGGTATTTGTAAAGTTCTGAAAGGAAGGGTGTCCTGATGGTCCGAGGTGCCTTCGCTGGAACCTGTGAAACCGGAGGTGTGCCAACTTCGAAAAGCAGTCCGGTTTCCTGGAGGCCAAGGTGCCTGCAGTTACGGTGAGAGGCCGGGGGCGGGGGCAAGGTCACGAGGCGCCGTTCCCCTGGAGTACGGGCCCCTGGAATCCACGGGCAGGATGCAAAGCGGCAGGGCCCTGCAGTCCTCAATTATAGAGCGGCTCCCGCGCCCCAACTCTTCAGTCGTCACTCTGAGGCGCAGAGACCCCATGTCGTTTAGAGCAGCGAGCAGGTTGAGCTCCGGGGAGTCCCAGGGCACTACTTGTCCCAGCGGAGGGATCCTGGCGAATCTTCATCCATGACCGCGGAGGGGCCGTGACGCCACTGCCGACGTGCCGGTGGCGCAGCGACGTAGCGGGAGGCGGGGTGGTGGCGGAGGCGGGAGCGGGAGCAGGTCGGAAAGTAGTTCCGGGTGCGCGGCCCCGGATGTTGGCTGCTCCCGCTGCTCCCGCCGCTCACGGCGCTGCTTGGGGCTTCGGCCGTTCGCTCCAGGCGCAGTTGGGATCTTACGAGGGGGGAGGAGACGCACGCAGCGGCCGGGGGCTCGGCCGGGCCGTCCGGCCTGCACAGACAGAGGTGAGCCCCCGCCGCCGGGGCAGCCGGGGCGGAGGGCGGGGAGGCGGGGCCGGGGCATCTCCCGCGACCCGGGCAGTCCTCCGAGAGACGCCCTCTCTCTTCTCTCGGTCGCGGCACTGCTGCGGGGTGGGCGCGCGCGGGGCGGGGGACTGGGACCCGGCCGCGTCCCGGCGGGCAGCGAGGGCTGCGTCCCGCCTCCTCCGCGGCGCTTCTCAGCTGCTGCTGCCCCTCAGCCGGGAAGCGGCGGCTCCGCGCCTCCCGCTCCTCCCCCAGCTGGCGCCTGGGGGTGCCCGGCCAGGTTCCCGGGGGCGCCGCGCCCTAGTACAGGGGCTGTCCCCTCCGTGACCTACCGCCCGGTCCTGGGAGAGCCCCTGCCCCAGCACGGTGCGGCTTCTTCCCTTCAAGCTTAGGGGTATTTTTCGGCCGGCTTGGCGGGCCTCTCGTGCTTCGGGGGTACCCTTCGGGGTGAGGGGGTGCGGGCGGGGGCCTGCGTTCCCACCCCGACTTGTCGCCGTGTCCTCTGCCGGCACTAGGACAGGGGCAGCCCTTCCCTGCAACCGTGTTGCTGTCCTGTGTGTATTGCATCCTGCCCACGTGGTAGGGTGTCTCTCCCCGCCCCCCCTCCATTTTTGCAGCTGGTGAGAAGGAGGGTTAACGCGGTGGCTTTTCCTATGTGATTTCCTCCGGTTGGCGTGGAAGGTGTTTAGGGTCAGTTTGCTTTGCTGAGGCCGACCGATGATGATTAACTGGAATACCCAAGAGTTGTACTCTCTCAAACCGAGACCAGTAGGGGACATAATAGGGCTTAGTTTCATTGACATCTTGCCTCCTCTCGCTTTAGCTGCTCTTGTTCTTTACTGCTTAATCCTAAAGAGAGAATGAGCTCTTGCTGCTGCTTGATGCCCTGAGGTGTACAGTTTTCACGTCTCCGTTCCAGTTTTTGTGCATATGGATGGCGAAGGTTTTTCTTTTTCTGTGTTGTGTAGTCCATGTTTCTGTTGTGCCTGGTTGGATTCCTGAATAAGGTTAGCTTGGCCGGCCAGGGACTTAGAGATTGGTGGACATTTTTACTTTTTTTTTTTGTCTATTCCTGATACTTATTTTTGCTTTTATTTTGTTTCCCAGTGAAACAATTGTGTGTGTAGTGAAAGTGTTAACATGCATTGCTCTTTACTTGCCAGGCAGCACTAGGTAGTCACCGAGTCCATGCGTGGAGCTCTTTTTATTTCACTTTTCCTCTTTCTATTGAGTATCATTGCGTTCTCTGGTCTTTGAAACTTGTTTTGAAACGTGTTTTGAGTAGTTTCTTCCCTTAATGTCTCTTGCAGGTTAAGGTTTCCATCTTGCTGTGTGTTGCTCTTTTTGTGACCACATTTGCCCCCTTAACAGGGAACAGGCCACAGAAACAGTGAGAGAAGCCTTGTATTCCTTCTAGACCTTAGAAAATATTTATAGTAAAGCAGTAACTCCTCTCCATTTTTCTCTTGGGGTAGCATACATAGATGTAATTGAATTTAATTTTTTAGATAAACCTGAGTGTTCCTGGTTTTCTTTTTGTGTGTCTTAGAGTTGAGGTGAATCTTGTTCTTGCTTTTGTTAGGGTTTTTTTTTTGGATGGAGTTCAGGACATGTTTATTTTGGCACTTTCTGGTTCATTAATGTGGATGATACCTTAATATTTTGAAGTCACTTTTTAGATTCCAAAGTGGCCAGCATCTTCATTTATTCTTGATTTTGTTTTTTGCATTGTGCATTCTCTTTGAATATATTTTTGTCTTTTTTTCTTTTAATTGATATAATTGTTAGTAAAATAAAAATATTTAAATATAGATTTATCTGGGTGGAGCAGTGGAAAAGAGAATGTTCTGATACATTAAGGCTTTTTTTTAGTAATTCAGTCAGCATTTGTGTACTTATGCAGAATACTGTGCTGTGTATTAAGTAGTCTGTATGAAGAGACACAGACAGTAAAATATGGGGTCTCTTCAAATGCTTTGACTTCTGTTGGGGAAACATGTAACATACGTCATTCATAGTTACTAAGCAGCTTCAGACTCCTGGTTTGGATAACAGTGCAACCAAAGTCAAAGGAATAAGTGAGATATGAAAAGGGTAGGCAAAGGTGAAAGAAAGATAGATGTTCCAGAAGAGTGAAGGTATGTTTGCATAGACAGAGTATTGGCTGCCTAGAAAAGATCAAGCAGCTTGACTGGCACAAAGAATGTGTATTGCTGAATAATAATAAATTAGTTTAGGTTTGGTGAGGGGGTATTGGTGTAGAACCCATGAGGATATAGTGTTTAGGTTGATGGGGTACCCACCACAATGGGTTCTAAAGAAAGGAAGTAGATGATGCATATTGTTCTTGAGGAAGGTTTTTGTATTAACCTGGAGTGGGGAGACTGACTAGAATGCTCTTGGAGTATTTCAGGAGTAAGATAATGGTCTGATATAAGGAAGTGGTTATGGCAATAAAAGAATAGCTAACATTTATTGAGTACTTACTGTATGCCAGGCATTGTTATAAGCTCTTCATATGTATTTTGTTCATCAAATCTTAATAATAAGGTCTTATTATTATGAAGAAACTGAGTTACAGAGAGGTCAAGTAACTTGCCCCAAATCCCGCAGAGAGTATGCCCCAGAGCCAGGATTTGAACCCAGGCAAACCAGCCTTTGAGTTTATGCATTTTGTCATTAAATTATACTGTCCTAAGAAAGAATATATAGAATATAAATATGTGAGTAAAAATTAATTTGAATTTGATGGTGATTGAATTGTGGGCAAAGGGAAGAGAAATATACAACATTAAAAGATTAAAGCCCAGAATCCTGGAAGGATGGCTGATGAAAGTGGGGAAATTAGGAAAGAAAGCATCACTGTGAAGGAAAATTAACTAAAAGGTTAGTTACAGGCAGCATTAGATTTGTGTACAATCAGTTTTTTGAAAGCAGGCTAGTCACTTGTTGCTCCTGATAGCTTTCTCTCCTTGCTGGTTTGGCTCTGGAAATGCAGACTAGTTTAGTATTAATCTAAGCGAAACTATTGGAAAAACATCTATTCAGAAGAAAAAAGTATGCCGCATAGAAGTAGCAAGCATAGGGATTTCTTATTTTGTTTGACTCACACCGCTGCTTCCCAGCTTTAATAAAGTTAATCAAGAATTGACTTAAGAGAAATACTGAGATATCTATAGCACATCGCTATGAAATGAATAGAGATGAAATGTAGATTGTGCAATGACCAGGGCTATAAATGGTAAAAAAAAAAAAAAAATGTGAGTAGATGAGCATTTAGTAGTATGGTGGTGAAAGAGCTTTGAGACTTGGAACTTTGGGTAACATTATAAGGCTAATGGGTAGCCTTATGGTTCTTCTGAGAAGAACCAGGAATTATCAGTGTCCCAAAAGCCAAGGATAGGAAGAGTAGTGTGGTTGACAGTATCAAATACAGTCTTGAAGTTCAGAAACAGTGATCATGATGAAAAACTGTTGAACTAGAACCAGGATGTAACTTAACTTAGAGAGAATTTTGAAAGGAAGGCTAAGAATACATGCCAGGTTTGTTTTCTACAGAATGATTGTGGAGGCATTATAGTTCGGTGTGGTAATTCTTGGTATTTTCTCCTGATGTTTTCATCCAGGCTCATTCTTGTCCCCATGTTAGAGCTACTCAAATATCAGAAAACTTACTTTGTTTCTTTAAAAAAGAAACTTGTGTGATTTTAATACTTAAGTGGTTCTCAAGACTTTTCTTACTCTATTTTAAACAGTTTTATTGAGGTGTAATTCACATACTGTACCTTTCACCCATTTTAGGTTTACAATTCAGTGGTTTTTAATTGTATATTCACCAAGTTGTGGAGCTATCATCACAATCCTTACACATTTCATCATCCCCAAAAAGAAAGTGTACTTATTAGAAGTCACTTTCCATTTCCTCTCTCCCCTGCAGTCCTAGGCATCCACAAAAGTACTTAACATTTCTATAGATTTGCTTATTCTGGACATTTCATATAAATGGAATCATACAATGTGTGGTTTTTTTTGTGTCTGACTTTTTTGATTTAGCATAAAATCTCAAGGGTTACCCATTTTGTAGTATATACCAATATCTCATTCCTTTTATTGCTGACTACTATTTCGTTGTATAGCTATACCACCTTTTATTTGCCCATTCATCATTTGATGGACATTTGGGTTTCTTACTCTTAAAAACCCTTCCCTATCTTAACCTTAATCCTCACTCTCCCAATTCTACTCCTTCTATGGCTTTTTCTTGAGAGTATTCTAGGCATTGGGGATATAAAGACAAGTAAAATGTGGTCCTTGGCCATTCATACAGTGTGTTTATGATGTACATGTTTTCTCATATCGTATCTCATTTGATCTAAAAACAACCCTGTGGTGTAGGCAGAGCATTTAAGATGAGCAGTTTGAAGTTTAGATTAGGTGACTTGCCCGAGACTGCACATTTAAGTCAGTGATGGAGCAATTAGATCTTCATTTTCTTTGCCATTTCCACTACTCTGTGCTATTTCAACTTAAAGGATCCCTGTGTGAATTGCTGGAGAATTAGAGGGGCTGGGAAATCCCCTTTCTTAGGGAATCAGTAACTTTTAATATTTGTTAGGATTTAAAGTGAAGAGATTTTTCTTACCAAATTCTGTCACTTGTTTTTGATTTAGATAAGTCATTTTGTATTTCTGCTGTTTCAGAACTTTAGTAGAGATTAATGTGATAATGATGATAGTAGTGGTAATAATAATAGCTAATATTTTCTGAGGCCTTACTGTGGCCTCAGAAGTGTTATAAATAGTTTTTATTTATTATTCATAGAATCCTAAAGGATAGATTTTATTATCAAAATCTTACAGATGAGGGAATAGCACACAGAGATTTAGTTACTTGCCTAAGGGTATATAGCTAGGGATGGAAAGAGCCAAGATTTGAACCCTGCAGTTTATTTTCAGAAGTCAGTGGCTCTTAATAACTACACT